TATATATATATATATATATATATATATATATATGTATTTTATTATTAAAAATTTATTTATTTTAATTATGTATATTTCTTTTGGTATTTATTTGTAAAATTAATATATATTATATGCAGATATATTTTCAAAAATATTTTGAACACCTTCCAGTAATATTTTCCCATAAGATTCGTCAAAAGTAAGATTCATGTTTATCATGTGTGGATCGTAAAACTTATCTCGAGTTTCGTATGATGTTGCAGGTTTAAATGTGTCTTAAAATATAAAAATTATTGCAGTTCATGACGAAATCTATCGAAAAGTTTACGTATTACGAAAAACGCGATGGCAAGTGACCAAAAACAATTCTTTCTTCTCATTTTACAGGAAATAATATTGCATTTCGTTATTATCGATTGCATGCCTACGTAACACGATACTCTTATGCCATTATGAAAAGAAATGATGATGTATGAATTAAATTCAAAATGCTTATCCTTTTCCCGCCTTTCTCTTTTCAAAATGGCGTATTTCTTGGTAAGGTGAATAAACGTGGCGGTGGTGGGGGGAGGCGGGAGAGAAAGAATGATTTAATGGTAGGACGAATGCAAAGTGGTTGATTAAAAAAAAAAAAAAGAAGAGAAGGGTGAATATGTGTTCTATTTTTTTTCTTTTTTTTTTACGAAGCTATAAATAACACATATTTATATAGGATGTCTCAAAAGTTGCCTTACCGAATTGAAAAATTAGAAATACTTTTTCTTTCTTTGCAAACAAGTTTTTTTTCAAAATAGCGCCACTGTGGATCCATACTTTATTTAAAAAACATTAACTGTACAGATTCATATTAATTAAAAAATTATTTCCATGTTAGACTCAACATTTTTCTATTCATTCAAGTATTTTAAAATAAAGCAAAAAAATAAAATATTTTTATTCAATTTAATAAACTAATATTAAGATTTGTTGTCTTTTGTTTTTCTTTTCTTAATATAGCAACTTGTTAGATTTCCTGTATACGAATAAGAATTTACGGAATGCAACAGTACGTCATCATGGAAATATATTATAATTTTAGGTCCTGGAAGTTTTCAATAGACGTCATTTTTTCCATTTCAGGAGTTATACTACCAGGTAGTCGTTTTATTCAATGAATTTGATTAGTCAACCTCACGTATTGACTGTTATACTATGTATATATAGTACAGATGATTCTTTCAAGATTCCGGTTTACATGCTAATGAGAAATACATACATATGTTAACACTATGCCCTCGTTTACCTTTCACTGTACTCTAACGTAAAATGGATATGTTTAATCGAACTAGAACGTATTTCGTTTAAAGAATAAAAAAATGTATTATAGTTTCACTTTGATAAGAGACATTCGTTTATCTCTTAAAGATTATAAATTTAATATCTAAAAGAATTCGAATAAATTCCATTGGTAAGTGTAAGAAAATATTATCAAATGATAATATCCGATACTAGGATCTTTGAGATATCAATGCTGTATTACATTTTTAAATTGAATACACGTGCTGAGATACAGATATATGTATATATGTATATTATATAAATTGCATAGTAATAATAGTTTGACCCTGCTACAAATAAAATCCTGTTAAGCGTGAAACCCCTCAAAGTACTTAGGTAGGTAATTCGATATACATATGTGCAAGGAGAAGTGAATGGGAACCGAGACGTAGTTTTTTATTGCTTTGTATTTAACTAAGAAAGTAGATATTATCCGGGAACAGAATGGGACCAGCATTCTCACGAAATGCACGACGAATAATAATAGTCTGGTCCTTTTTACATGATCCTTCTTTTTTATTTTTCTTTATTTACGATTAGAAACAGAAAGAAAAAGAAAAAGAAAAAGAAAAAAACATAACAAAAAGAACAATCCTCTTTCCTAATGTTTATTACATTCTCGATTAACTCGATCGATGGATTATTCTTTTATTATAATTATTCTAACAATAATTTAACTGTATACATATATATGTATATATATATATATGCATATATATGTTTATAGGTAATAATTATATATATATATATAAATATGTTTATATATTAGTTGATTTAATTTAAGTATATTCTATTAATTTAAATCTCATACAGAAGATTTCTTTTACAATACTTTAATGTGAGTTTGATTTTTAAGATAAATAAGTTTCAATTTATATAAAAAATCAATTGAAAATCTAGTACATTGTTTTTAAGCTGCTGATGTGTGTGATTATCCATTGAAAGTATATCTTGTATATATATGAATATATATGAATGCTTTTTAATTACGTAGTTTGAAAAAATAATTTGTGATCATAATTATAAATAAAATGTCTAATATTATATTATTATAATTAATATAAAGCGCTATGAACACCATTAATTTTTGTATTATTTGTTTTTGTTTCTTTCCCAAAGGCACAGTAAACTTATGTTTTATATATAAACGAAGCCTTATACCGGAGAGAATAATGTTCATATAAAAATTTAAGTTCATTTTTCACTACGGCAAAGTTATTTCAAGATTATTCATTTAATTTGGAAATAATTGTTGACTATCTATACATAAATGCACTTTTCGGACTGATTTCAAACATTTGATGGTATTCGTATATTATATTTCGTAGTGAAAAATATCTACTAATTTTGTGTTCTTTTTTTTTTTGTTAATTAAATGCTCAAAAGCAGAGCAACAATAATGCTTCAGAGTTAGTTAAGAAGAAGTCAGTGTTCGATACTTCTTCACATTTAAAGCTGTCTGTATATTAATCACCTACATACACCTTTAACAATAGAATTCAATATTAACAACAATTTAATATCAATGGATGGAATTTAAATGATATCAAACAAAAAAAAGAGAAAATACCTACATGATTTTTATGATGCTGTGATTTGTAATCTTGCAATGAATTAAAGAAAACATATTTGTTTATATTGATTTGGATTCTAAACGAATTAAAGATGTCATTTTCTTCTTAAATCGACTACTTCCACAGGTGCAGTTGGATCTAATTTACAATGTTTTGCTTTCTAAAAATGAAATGAAAAATATATTCATTATTATGATATACAAAAGTAATAGTACGTTGTGTAATTATGTACCGTATAAAGCGAAGGTTCTGTTGGATGAGGATGAAAACCAGTTTGTCTGCAATTAGCTATATAATCTAGACCATATTCTGGAGTTAGAATAAAGAAAGCTGTCCTATATAAACAAATTAAATATATATGTACATTTTGTTAATCAAAAAGAGTTAGAAATTATAAAAAATCATTTAATTTACTTACTCGTCATATTTAGGTGCACAAACAATAGCAATTGCTTCAGCCATCATAAGTTGATAAGAACAATGTGTATGAAGGTCCACGCTAGACAAAAATGCTGTTTGTGTTGGATGCGTCTATAAAATGATCAAACAATTATTATTAYTTTTATTTAAATATTATTATAATAACTGTTAATATTATATTTTATATTTGTATATGCACATACATGTATCCATCCAAGAGTAATTAAATTATGATTATCTTGAAAGTCAAAAATATCCTCTTCGTTGAGCGTTAAACAAGAATCAGGGGATCCCGTTTGTTGTGGAATTAATAAATGAGTGATCAATAATTTATTACGTTCCAATTTTCCTGTTAATATGCCACACGTTTCTTTGTTATTTGTTGTATTATTAAATGCTAACGAAAGGAAATTTTGTATCAATTTGTTGGGCAAAATAATATCACGTAATTGGCTGCTGTCGTTTGAAAGTATAGTAGGTTTTGTTGAACGATCCACTCTAGGTATATTGCTAAAAAATATTTGCTTTTATATATGATGAAATTATTTCAAATGTTACAGATGTCAAATTTTTATATGCTGAAGTGAAACATACTTGTCCTTTAAAGACTGAGGCTTACTATCGATGGATAAACTTTTTGGTGGTTTAGGAGTCGGAGTGAATCTCTTTACAGGTAATTTTATGTCATCTTTTGTCTCCAAGAAATCAGTGTCAGCGAACTTAGCTCTTACAGCTTCCATTGCTGCCAATTTATTTTTTCTTTCTTCTTCTTCTTTTAATCTACATGAATAATAATAATAATAATAATAATAATAATAATATATATATATATATATATATATATATATCAATAATGATTGTAAGCTATACACAAAGATTGAACTATGTATAAAAATGGGAGAAGAATATTATTATAATAATATAAATTAGTTTTATATTTGTTAATAAAAAATTGAATATTAGAATTGATACCTCTGTTCTTCTTCTCGCCTTGATCTCTCCTCGTCCTGATACTGTTTCAATAACTGTTTCTTCAGTTCCTCAGCCTTGGGAAGAACTTCTCGCAAAATTTGCTTAGTCGATTCTTTTTCTTTTGCTGTTACCTTATGATAAAGCTGATGTTTGCTCATTTTTTCTACAAAAAGTCTAAACAAATAAAAATCCTTTAAACCATTGACATTTGTTATTTCCAGAAACAGTAATCAATTAATATACACAAAACCCTTACGTTATAAATCTGACAAATAATTGATACGCTTCTTCATAATTGCCTTCCTTCGTATATACATCGGCTTGTCTGATTAATTGCAATCCAGAACGATAATATCTAAAAATCATACAATGTAAATACATGAAAACAGTCAAATTCTGAACGTAAAAGAAATTGATTATTGAAAATACCTTTTAGGTGGAATGTTATGTTTTATTTCCACTTTTGAAGCTTTCTCCGAAAGCATTTTTAAACGTGTTTCTGGATCTGATATTTCTGTCATTTTGGTGATAGACAGTTCTCCACTCTTACTTTCTGATTTATTCCTCTCCATTTTACAAATGTTAGGTTATCTTAAAGAAGTCAATTTGTACAAAAAAGTAGAAAAATCAATTATTATACACGAATAATATTTATGATGACATAATGATTATACGAAATGACACTGCTATAGAATATGTGCGTTTTATAGACTAAAATGACAATAATTAGAAGCAATGACGTTCATTGTTATAACGATGAAGAAAAGTTAACAAAAAATTAAATAAATAAATGTTAGAAACGATTAAAGAAATATCTGATAAATTCAGATAAATTGAATGATATTGCACAGTGTCTGTTGTTATCATAAAGGCATAACGAAAATATAATATAGATTTGACAAGCATATACAAACTAACTTTATATATACATACATATCTCTTTTCTTTTTTTATTCTTTTAATTCCTTCTCTTTTCTTCTTTATCATTCGCGTATCATGCACGACTTTACCGACAATACGCATAGACAGAAATAGAAAGCAGCACTGCTGATAAGAGAATAACGAATGATAAAATAATATCGATAATATCGTTTCGATAGATTATTTCGATTAAATCATTGTTTATTTATTAGATAAAAGAAACATTTTGTAAAAAACTTACGATCGATCAACGATATTTATTTACATTATTTACAATATATATATATATATATATATATATATATATATAAAACATAAATAATATCGATATGTAGGGCAATATCAAAATAAAGATGCAAAACCTTAAGGTATCATCTTATCTTATCAAAAGTGAGAGATATATAATCGATACAAGTTTACATATCACTAAATTATTGGCGCCATGTTATTAGTGGTGCTAGTAAGTAGTTTAGATTTTGTCCGTACGTGTCGCTAAAATCGCAAACAATTCCATTACTCTTCTTTTCTTTCACTTGTCATTTCTTTATCGTTTGTGTTTTTGATTTCGAATACAAAGTAGTTATTATATAAAGATTGTTATGCAATTTTCTTACGATTTATATAAAAATAATTATAAATACATTTTTATTGTCGATACATTTTATTATTCTTTGATAATTTCTAACCAATCAGTTTTCATTATTGTAAATTAATGGACCAATCAAAAATTTTCTCTGAATAATATACATGATTATTTAGATTTATTCAAAATTCAAATGTTATTATACGTATTAAAGTATATTGATTATCCTTATCAATATGATAACAAAATCAATATTTTATTATTTTTTCTATGGATAATTTAAATCTCAGAGAAAGACTCTTAATAAGATACTGGTATTAACTGAGATAAAACAGCTGATCATTATGTCTCAATTAATAGTTAGTTTTATTTGTACGTGTATTTTCGGATGAGTGTAAATAAAACAAGATAATCATATACGATTGTAGAAATATTTAATCAACTGTACGTGAAAGAATTAATAACAATATAACTTTTAATATTTTACAATTTTTGTCATAGTATGACATTTAATAAACATATTACTTGATATTATTACTGTAATGTACAAAAATGAAAGTTTAAAGTTATAAAGTTAGTTTTTTTATATTTCATTATGACACTACAATCAAAGCTTTTTTTTAATGCAAGACGAAGGTATTTATTCTTAAATTCTTTTCCTTTTTATCGCATATTTAAATTCTATTTTTATGTTTATTACATATAATAATTGTTCATTTACATTTCAGGTCTGAAGTAATATTATCCAGATTATTTTTAACCGATCATGTAAATGCTTATAAGCATACTTTACAACAAAAAGAAAAAATTTATGCAAATAAGGAAGATGTCAAGAATTATTTTAACATTAAATATGTTGCCAGTTTTGCAGTCACCGCTTCACTTTTAGGTATATATTTTTACAATACATTAGAAAAGGAAACACAGTCATCTGAAGAAGCAAAGGATAATGAATGTGGAAAATTAAAGAAAGATTTACAAACTTACACGCTAGAAGAAGTAGGAAAACATTATAATAAAGAAAATCGTATTTGGGTAACTTATAAGGAAGGAGTATACGATATTACGGATTTCATTGATCGACATCCTGGTGGTTCTTCTAAAATCATGATGGCAGCTGGAAGTTCAATAGAACCATTTTGGTCAATCTTTGCTAATCATAACACACCTGAGATATATGCTCTCTTAGAATCAATGAGAATTGGTAATATATCTAAAATAGATGCCAAATCAAATAGTAGTGATTTAAGTGATCCTTATGCGAATGAGCCTACTCGTCATAAAGCTTTAAAGATTAATGGACAGAAGCCCTTTTGTGCAGAAACACCATCTTCTTTATTAATTGAAAGCTTCCAAACACCAGCGTAAGCAAAATAATATAATTACTAATATTTATTATTAAATATTCTACAGGTAGCTGGATAGTTGATTGAATTAATTATTTTGTATAAGATTTAAAGTAATTTCTATTTTTAGAGATCTTTTTTATGTTAGAAATCATCTTCCCGTTCCTGAGATAGATTTAAAGACCTATACAGTAGAGATAGCTGTAGAAAGTGATACTAAAAAAACATTAGATTTCGATGCGATTAAAAATTATCCTAAATATACGATAACCAGTACTATAATGTGTGGTGGAAATAGACGTTCAGAAATGGCAGAGGTATATTTTTATTAAAACCTCATTTAATTGTAAATTAATTAAAAATTATATTAATATATCTTTGATTAGGTAAAACCATTGAAAGGTCTAAGTTGGGGTGTAGGTGCAGTTGGTAATTCTACTTGGTCAGGAGCACGTTTGTGTGATGTACTGAAAGATTTAGGAATAAATGAAGAAGATTATGATCATGTTCAGGTACTTTAATTTTTAATAAACATACATTGTTTCTATAACTTCTTATTTATATTTTTTTCAATGTGTTAGTTTGAAGCTCACGATGTAGATCCAAGTGGTACACCATATGGTGCAAGCATTCCTATTAGTAAAGCCATGGATCCTAGAGCTGATGTATTATTAGCATATGAAATGAATGGAGAACCTATACCAAGAGATCATGGTTTTCCAGTTAGAGTTATTGTTCCTGGAGTTGTAGGTGCAAGAAATGTTAAATGGCTTGGTATGTAGATCACAATATTATTGATCTAAATTTTATAGAATGTAATTATAATTTTCTTTTTTCGTTTTGCAGAAAAAATAATTATTTCTAAAAAAGAAAGTCAATCGCAGTGGCAGCAAGGCGATTACAAAGCTTTTTCTCCTAGTACTGATTGGGATAATGTTGATTTTTCAAAAGCACCAGCTATACAAGAGATGCCTGTTATTTCTGCTATTTGTAAACCAGAACAATTAGAAAAAGTTACAATAAAAGATGGCAAAATAGATGTTAAAGGTATATGATTTTATAAAAGTACAAATCTAAAAAGGAGTATCTTATTACCTAAATTATTTTCTAGGATATGCTTGGTCAGGTGGTGGTAAGAAGATAATCAGAGTCGACGTAACATGTGACCAAGGAAATACTTGGCACACAGCTGATCTTGTAGGACAGGATCTTAATGCTAAACCAGGTCGAAATTGGAGTTGGACTTTATGGAGTATTAATCTTCCTGTTGATGTGAAATTAAAGGAAGTTGAAATTTGGGCTAAGGCTGTTGATGCGTCTTATAACGTTCAACCGGAAACTGTAAAAAATATTTGGAATTTACGAGGTTTTTTGTGCAATGCATATCACAGAGTAAAAGTTCAATTAAACTAATATGAAATAGTGATAAAATTATAAGATAAGTTTTTAGATTTTTTTAAAAGTAATCGATATTTGTTTTATATTATACATGTATTATTTTATATGTACAAAAGAAAACAACATTTTTATCAAGATACTACAGTCTATTTTCTTGTAATAAAATATTTTCGGATTCCTTAACATCGCTGTTCATGAAGTAATCAGTCATACTTTCTAAAGTAACTTCATGATATTTATCATTATAAACGTCATATAGTTCAAACACTGATTTTGATATTACAGTTTTACCAAGGATTATAGCATAAGGATATCCAGTGGTTCGTACATATAATAAACGTTTACCTATTGTTAAATTAGTTCTGTCATCAAGAATTGCATCTATACCTAATTTACATAAAATATCGTATATTGGTTCAATATAAGACGCTGCAGATTCCTCTTTGCTTCCTTGCTGTAAGATATATATAATATTATAATTTTATACATCACAAGATATTAAATGTAACATAATTAAAATTTTGTTCTTTAATTAATTACCTTCGGTGGAATAATACAAACTGTAAAAGGTGCTATACACTTAGGCCATTTGATTTCTTCCTTAGTTGACAAAATTTCAGCTGATGCAGCCATAATACGACTTAAACCAATTCCAAAACATCCCATTACAAGAGGTTCTTCTATATTTTGATCTCTATATACTGCGTTAAATGGTTTTGAATACTTTGTATCTAAGAGGAAAGTATGTCCAACCTGAATAGTTTAAGGTATGCAGTAAGTATGTGATAAATAATTAAATTGTGTTTTACATTTTTATATTTTAAATAAATACCTCAATTGCATTATGTGCTTGTAATTCTGTGTTGCAGTGTGGACATTCAGATTGCGTAGATATATTTTTATTCACACGATAATTGCAAGATTGACACGATAGAACAATATCTTCCCCGCTGTTAGACAAATAATGATATTCGTGGGATAAACAACCACCAATGGTTCCAGTATCACCTTCCGCTGTAAACCATAAAATATCATTGAGGTAAGTACAATGAAATTCTTTATGAAATTTATATAAAAAGAAAAAGATTAATTATATTCAAATACATTAAAAAATTACCTTTGATATATTCTATTCCAATTTGATTAAATATATTATTATAAGCCTCGCATACAATATTATACGTATCTTTGGCATCATCCATATTAAGATTGAACGTATACAAATCTTTCATAATAAATTCTCTACTTCTTAACAAACCTAAACGTGGTCTCATCTCATCTCTCCATTTGCTAGAAATTTGATATAATTTGAGAGGTAACATTTTTGGAGTCAATGGTCCCACATTTTTGATCAGATTGCATATAGCTTCTTCAAAAGTCTGCAATGTAGTTTATACCTGCTTAAAACGTTAAACTTATAACATAATATCTTGTTAATAAAATAATTATATATTAAACATAGTTTGTGTTTTCAAATGCTTACTGGACCAAGAACGAATTCTTTATTGTATCTGTCCTTAAGTGTAAACAATTCACTTTTATCTGAATCATATCTATTAGTTTTTTGAAATAATTTAGTTGACGTTAATGCAGGTAACAATATTCTTTGAGCACCAATCTTCGTCATTTCTTTATCTATAATTGTTGAAAGTTTATTCAATATTCGATATCCTAATGGTAATAACACGTGCATCCCTTTATTAACTGGTTTAATTATACCATTACTGACCATATTCTATAAAAATAAAAATAAAAATACAAATTTGATATGTAATAAATTAGTATAAACAAAATATATATTATCTTTTGAATATTGATGTATGTTATATCAAAAATATTTACCACATAACCCTTAGAAACTACTTCAGTCTTATCAAATGTATCTGGTAATGTAGTTAGCGATGAACGAAATAATTGGGATACTTTAATTATTTTGTTGAATTTTTTACTCGCCATTGTCACCTTTGTTATTTTAATTTTTATAAATAATAGGTTTAATAGAGAATATCATAGAGACGATGGAAACACCGTAGTACGACAATGTAGATGTCGTTACTATAGTGTTTCGCGATACTAAAATAAATACTACGACGTTTTTTAATAATAAAACATAATAGTGAAGTGAAAACTTCTTTAGAATGAGTGTGATTTGAAAAAATTTTTCAAAGTGTTTTATTATTTACTTTCTTTGTAATTATTATAAATATGCGCGCCTGTATGAATGCAACCCTCCAGACACATTTTGAAAAATGTTGCTTGCGAGCGCCATTTGTCGGGGCGGAATTTTTTCTGCCCGAAAGACAGGCAACCCGTCATACATACGTGTATAAACAGTTTTGACTGCGAAAAAATTCCGTCCCAGTAGATGGCGCTCGTAAGCAACATTTTCAAACTGTGTCTGGAGGGTTGCATACGAACAGGCGAGAATTTTTATATTTAAATAAATATATATATAAATAAATAATTGCAAATTAAACGTACAAATAATATTATAATAATATTATATAACAAATTATTGTCGAAACTGGTTTATTTGAAGGTTTCTCTTCTAACTTGTGTGATATGCACACATGTTTTTTTTTATTATTTTAATTTTTATAAACAATAGGACTAATCTAGAATATCATAGAGCATAACAAAAATACTAAGAATGTTATTATCTTGTTTATTTATTTATCTATGCAGAAGTTTTCCAATAAAGTATTTAAAATGTAATCGATTGAAAAATGGCGCGTTTTTTTAAAAATAATATGAATAAAAAAATAAAAATATATTTATAAAAGAGCTAACACATTTACGTGTAATATAATATTCAATAAATTATATTACTTTAAAGAATTAAAAAAAAAAAATATTCATTAAATTAATAATAAAAATTGTTATATATTTTTTTTATTTAAATAGGATATAGAAATAGAATAAAATAAAATGGTGTATTATTAAATATATAGAATAATAAAATGAACGATAGGACCATTTCTAGAATATATTGCTATATACACACTTTAATAACCAAAAACAAACATTACAGTAATAATATTGTTGTTATTAATATAATATTATGTAATAATAGAATCGTTTATCAATCGTAGTGTAAACACTAAAAATGTTGCTTCCTCATTTATTTTGTTATTTGGAAAGAACGATGCGGTAATCTTCGCTTAGCTCTCATTCACATTCTCATTTTAATAATATGTTAATTTTATAATCGTCGCGAAATATAATTCGTTAAAGGGTCCAGCGTGATTTCAATTTTTATTCGATCAAGAATAATGGTCTTCTTCTCTTCGCACATTTTTCTTTTTTTCTTTTTGCGAAAGAACAAATAATTACATTTGTTGTTCCACGCAAATTGAATAAAGAAAAATAGCAGAAGAAGAAGAAGAAGAACAATAATAAAATCGTTATCCTTTATTTAATTTCATTTCATTTCATTTATATTTTTGTTTTTTGTTTGTTTTATTTTTTTTAAATTATTTCTCGATCAATTTACAAAATCACACCGAACCAAACAACGAGATTTGCGTGGCCGAATTCGTGGCACCGTAGACGTTTATCCTTAGAGTAATAAATATTATAGTGCAATATCTAAAAAATCTGTCTTTTTTATGCAACTTACACATTCAAATACAGTGTACTCGAAAAATTTACAATATTATTGCCCTTACAAACATTAAATCTCTATTCGAGCGGTGGTTAATCCGCGATACCTTTCTCTCACTTTTTCTCCCTCTCTCTCATTCTCACTCTGACCCACAGATACACATACACACACACACTCACTCTCACATTCTTTCTTTCTTTCTTTCTCTCTCTCTCTCTCTCTCTCTCTCTCTTTCTTTCACATGACTTTTTCACTCTCTTTCTCTCTCTCTGACCGCTAAAAAAGAATGTATATTTTTTTTGTTTATTTTATATATATATATATTTATATATATATATAAATTTTTTTTTTATTATTTTTTTTTTTTATTCAAGATCGTGAGTGCGTGTGAGAATATTCAAAGTGTACAGCTGATAGAATCGATTCCTAGTCCGTTTAATTAATCGTATAGCTTCTTCTTTTGTATGTTTTATTTTTTTCTTCTTTTTTTTTTTTTTTACTAATCTTCCTTCTCTTTCTCTCTCTTTCTCTTTCTTTGAACGCAACTTGTTACCTTGTTTTCTTATTATTTTTCTTGTTATTTTTTAAATATTACGTCATACATACACACGATAGAATGCCCACGCGTAGTATTATATACTTTTCATTTTTTTCTCGGCATGTTTTTTCTTTTTTTTCTTTTTTATTAGTTATGCTAAGAGCACATGTGTATAAATGCATAATACACGAGGAGAGTCATCATTGCAATTTTTTTCTTCGGTCTAACTAACTAACTTTAAATTCACTTTGAATGAATTTCTTTCCTCTTGTCCGGTCTGTCTTTTACCTATAATCTATTTTCTTCACATTTTCTTTTTCTTATTGATTATTTATTTTTCTTTTCATATACTTCCGAGCACATAATCATCATCATCATCATCATCATCATCATCATCATCTCTACTACCATCTTAAACGATGAAAGTGAAGTAAGTTGAAAATATTCGCGTATGTATAATATAAGACGACTTGAGAGATATTTTTTTGTTCTTTCATCAATTGGCGATACGTTGAGACGTTAAACGAGCACAGTACGAATGACATTATTTATTTATTTATTTATTATTTTGGGTTTCTTTTTTTTTACTTTTTCTTTCTCTTCTTATCTTCCCAGTTTTCTTTTTTTTTTGTTTCGTCGCGAGAAGAAGATTCACATTTTCTTTTATTTCACACATTGTATGGTTTTATTTTATTTTATTTTTATTTTTATTTTTATTTTTTTTTTTTGAGGGGTTTCTTTTGGTTCTTTCTTTTCTGAAGCGAATAATCAAGCGAATAACAACACGATAATAACGAAAATGAAAAATCGATTATGCGTTTTTCATGTCACTTGAGATAATAATAACAATGAATATATTTAAACACCTGTTTTAATCGATTAGTCGGAATTAACAACATCGTTAGTATTATTTTTTTTCCTCCCTTTTATTTTCTTTTTTTCTATTTAATTTTTATCCTCATTTTCCGATAATGTTTGCCGCCGCCTCCCATTGATCGTTCTTCCGTGATTGTTATTGTTATTGTTGTTTGTTATTATTAATATTATTATTATTATTACTATTATTATTATTATAAGTATTATAAATATTATTTATTATTATTATTATTAATTAATTAATTTTTTTTTTAAATCTTTGACAACGTTGAGATAATATTATCAGTAGCACTTTTATTTATCGTAAATTACGTTCATGTGATTAATGATAAAACACGGCATTAAAAATTATTCATTCGCTTTTATACGAAAATCCAACGCCATTATTAATCGTCACTCGGTAAATATCCTTTTTATTCATTTCTTTTAAACTTTCGTGTGTATGTGTGTGTACTTTTTTGTTGGTCGTCGTGTACGTGTAGTGATGGTTAAAACACAATCTCTGATATCCTTCATTTTCTTTCTTTCTCTCTCTTTCTCTCTCTCTTTCTTTTCTTTACAAATATCAAACGATATTAATTTACAATTCAATACATATTTAATTCTTAACAATTTTCTTCAAACTTTATATCCAACAGCTTTAAGAAAAAAACAATTAAAAAAAAAACCTCAAAAAAACGAACCTTCCGCCATATCGAAGCGTGTTGATTCCGCCATTTTGATTTCGACGAAGAGAAAAGACGTAATAGAAAATGGCGGTTTCGATTTAAAACTTATTACTTCGCGGACTTTCAGCTGCGTGTAAATATTTGAATGTGTTTAAATAGTGTAATATCATCGGTGAGGAACAGGGATTGATGATTAATGGTATTATGTTGTTGTGGTTGTTATTATTTTTTATGATGACGATGGTAATGGTGATAGAGGTTAGGGGGATAAATACGGTCAAATATCGCAATAATTAAACGGTATTATTAATTATAGAGATTAATAGTTTGGTAGCGCGGTAAATAGTTAAGAGTTAGTGATAATAGCAATTAGTAATAGTAATAGTAGCTCTGACAATTTAAATATTCGAACTAGTACATACTAGGACGTTATTATTATATCAAGGAAGTCGTTATGGAATTGAGGATTGGAAGGATTGGATCAATAGGATTGGGGGTTTGAGACAAGATTTATAAAAGGGTGGAGGTCTTAACAGAATATACAAAAATAAAATATGAAAAAAAACATTAAAAATAAAAAAAAAAAGATAATATATCATATGCAAGCATGGATGAACTTGGATTTATAAGGAAGACACGTAATAATGAATATTATTTTACTTGGAAGTTAATTGTTCCTTCTTCTTCTTCTACTTCTTTTTAATCTTCCTTCAAAATTACTTTTTCTTTTCACACGGAATTCGTAATAGAACGATTCCTAATTAATTATAATAATTTATAATAATGATATATCATAATTACAATATATATATCTAGGAAGGTACAAAGGAAATGGGGAAAGGTGGGAGACGGGTGTAAATCGGTGGTAGTAGGGGCTTGGAAAGGGGATGATTTTGACGCTAACTAAGAGTCTGATATGTAGACTGACTTTGGGCGAGGGTAACCTATGTGTTAATTTTTTTTTTGTCGGATCTATACACACACACATTGGCTCCTACTTCAAAGATCGGGCACATTTTTCGTTCGATCGACAAATGTTCGATTTGTTTCATTTTTACGGATGATCTTATTACCGAGAGAGAAGAAGAAGGATAAAGAAAGAAAAATAAATAAATAAATAAATAAAAAGTCAAGAAGAATAAACAAATTCATTTAATTAAACTCGAAACGTTATCGATCGAACCTTTTTGGTGCCTTTAAACGAACGATTTTAAAGATATGTTAATGTCGATTATAAGGTAAATTCGCATTTTCTCTCTCTCTCTCTCTCTCTCTCTTTCTATTTCAATATTTCTCTTTCTCTCTCTCTCTCTCTCTCTCTCTCTTACTTTCTTTCTTTCTTCCTTTTTTTCATTCTTCGTTTTATTATTTTTTTTTTAATCT